CAATCCCACCCACCAAATGACCCATCCCCGACCGCATCGCTTGCCGACCAGGCTACGCCATTAACGGCGCGCGAGCGTGGGTGAGAGAGGGGGGAACATATACGCAGGAGAAAGAGCGGTTGAGAAGGACTTCGTCTCTCAGCGGGTCCGCTGCTGGCACCCGCGCGTCAGAAGGAATGGCGGGGCGCGCGATTCGCACTCTCGGCCAGGCCTCCCGCGCCTGAGCACCATCAGAGAGACGATCCTGACAAAGCATTTCGTGACGACCGCACAAAGTGGTCATGAAACGCAGTGACAGCAGGCAGCAGCACCCCTTCCCTGCTACCCCAAACACTGCTGCTCGCCTCGCACATGGGAGGGGGCGGAGGTGGAGGCTGAGGGGAATACATGAAGGTGGTACTCCATGGTCCCGAGGGGATACACGCTCCGTCGCATTTCAGCCATCGTGGGCACCCAAGGGGCTCTACGGGTCTACCCCCTCGGGAAATAGTGCACATATGTGGCGTCATGACATCCGCCTCTCCGCATGCCTTCTGCGGACAACACTTCGCCAGCTCGGCGCGGCGGGGCACGCTATTCGCACGATCGGGCCTCGGACCGCGCGCGGGGCCGAGCATGGGCGCCATGAGACAATGCCACCGCCCTCACCCACGCCATAGCCCTGCTCAAACCCAGCTACTCCTCACTGCCGCTCGCAACACACATGCGACGCAAGAAACACGACGAGAAGGGAGGGTGAGGATGGGAGGGGCCATGGGAGTCACACTGGCCTCAAGAGGGGGCACCTCGTGGCCAGCAATGCTCTCCAGGCTCGCGGGGGGCGCCCGCGGAGACTCCCGCGCGCTGTCGTCGACGCGTGCGGACATCCATATCCAATACTTCCGTCGCTGCACTGAACTACGAATCGACGATCAACGCATGCTGACAAGTGCGCAACAACTTATGCAGAGGCGCATGAAAGAACAGTGACGATGCAGGAAAGACTAGGCAATTCGTACTCTTCTTTTTACTCTGAGGCAAAAAAATGAACATACCGCGGCAGGCCTGGACACCTCATCCACGAGCCTGCTGCCATATGGAAGTGGATTGCACGGCAAGACAGCACTGCACAAAAGAGCCTGCAACACCTGCAGAGGTGACGCGCGCTGGGCAAGAGCCAGCACCGCTGGCAGCGTTCACCTCCGCAGGGAGACTCACCACCCTTGTGAAAACACGTCTTCCCCATGTCCACCTTGTGAACGTCTGGGGCTTCGATCCCTCTCAACATCTGAACTGCGGGCTGCGTCATCTCGCCCCCTTGGCAACGGGCGCTCTTCTCCGGGAACCACGCGCAGCTCCACCCTGCTTGACGTCGGTGGTGACGGTGCCGCCCCACCGGACGCCATGGCTGCCACGATGATAGGCTGCCCTGGACATGCAAGTGCCCTTGCCATCATGGCGCGGCGCTCCTCCTCGGCGGCCTCTGCACGGCGCTCAGCAGCTGCCCGCATGGCTCGGCGGCATGCGATGTCTCTAGCCCGCATGGCGCGGCGCTCCTCCTCTGCGGCCTCTGCACGGCGCTCGGCAGCTGCCTTGGCGCGGGCCGATCGGGCAGCCTTCCTGGCCTTCCAGTCGTTGGCAGCCACATCATCACCAGCATCTTCTGGCACAGGCCCGCCACGCCCGCCATCGACATCTGCCTGTAGCTCTGCCACGGCGCACGCCTGGTCCTGTGTCAGGATGGGCGCACCCGACCCTACCACGGACGCGGCAGGGCCTTGCGGTGCAAATACCTCCGCCTCCCGCGCTGGCACTGCTGGTGCCACTGCTGTAGGCTGCTGCCCCTGCGCCGCGCCTTTTGCGAGCTGCCCGAACGTCGCCTGCAGCTCTCCGAGCACTGACGACAGCCCCGCCAACTGCTGCGCCATGTTCACCTGGCCCCTCTGGAGCTCCGTGATGTCGGCTGCCATCGGCGACATCATGACATCGCTGTTCGGCTCTGGGTAGTGCGTCTCCAGCAGGCGTAACATTAGCTGCGCCCTCGCCAACTCATTGTAACGCTGATTCAGGACAACTAACATGTGCACGAGGGTAGCTTGCGCCTCAACGAAGTCAACCTGTGTCCGTCTCATCCTCCTCTCGGCCAGCTTCATCTGGAGCCTGTCCGTCTGCTGGAGACTGGCCGTCTGCGATCTGCACACTACAGGATTGCAGATTCTTGCGCCAAATCGTTGACCACGCACACATGACGCCCAAGATGCGGACTTGAACGCAACTTCTTGGCGGAGGCGAAGACCAGTCGACGAAGATACCTCCTGTGTGCCTGCACTGCTTCATTAGTGCGAGGCAGCTCCTGCCATGAGGGGTGCGCCATGGCCTCCTCAGGGAGCGCAGGCAGCACTCCTGTCGGCTGCGCCGCCGAGTCCTCCGTGTCCGTGCCCTCCTCGACCTCGGACTCCTCGGACGTGACATCTGCCGACTTCGACCGACGCGAGGCTCGGGTCCGTCTCGGCCCAGACGTCGCGCGGCCTCTGCGAGCCTCAGGCTCGGGCGCAGCCTCCGCCTCAGGCTCAGGCGTCGGCACCAGCCGACGCGAGCGCATGGCCTCGGCTGCGGCGGCACCCGCCACTGCACGTTCTCCCTGCCGACTACGATCACGCCGTCGTCGTTTATCAGCACGTTCTCCCTGTTGCTGCGACCAGCCGTCCCCCCCGACGATCGGGCACGCTGATCGGACTGCGGGTTTGGCGTCTGCTGTCGCCTGCCTTTCATCTGCTGCGGTGGCCCAACATTGGCCCACGGCGCTTGGGCAAGCATTGGGAAGCACACTCTGCACGGACTATCCTGCATCATGTTGGGCTCGCCGCAGTGCTCGCATCGCCATGCCGGTGGCGGCAGGGGGACAGGCACGACCTGTTTTGCCCTGCCCTTGCCCGTGCCGCCCCCTTCACCTCCTCCGCGATGTTGCCACGACGTCGAACTGTGATGCTCGCGTAGCCGCTACGCCGCGACGACGACTCGTAGCGGCACACAGCACCGGCGCGGGCCTGTCAGTCACGACGGCGCCAGCTGGCACTCAACTCCTGCCGCTGGACTGCACACGCGACGAGCGGGAAACCCTCGGCGTGCCACGCGTCGCAGTCGCGGCCAAGGCCCAGGCCGCCGATCCGCGCAGCGGCGGGCGCGGGCCAGCACGCGTAGCCGCCCGCCCCTAGTGAGAGGTTCGCTGTACCTGTTACAGCGCCCAAAAACCTCTCGAGCAGGGGCGGCAGCTAAGACAACGAGGAAGGAGGGAGGACGACGACGGCGACAACGACGACAACGACGAGGGAGGAGGGAGGACGGCGACGACGCGAACGACGAAGAAGGAGGAAGGACGACGACGCCGACGACGGCAACGACGAGGGAGGATGGAAGGCGACGACGACGACGACAACGACGACGACGACGACGACGACGACGACGACGGTGACGAAATAGGAGGGACCGACGACGAGGCGCCGACGACGGACGACGACCGACGACGTGGGAGGAGGAGGACGGACGACCACGGCGACAACGACGACGGAAACGACCACGACGCCAAAGAGGACGACGACGACGAACGCGAGAAAAGACAGAGGACGACGTAGGCGACGACGACGACGACGACGACGCGGGAGGAGGGAGGACAGCGACGACGACGACGACGACGACGACGACGACGACGCAAGAGCGCGCGCGCACGCTTTTGTTGAAAGTCCGTGTTGCGATACCGTAGGTTTGTGTAGGTTTTTTGGACGCACGATTTTGAAATCCTTCCGAAACCGATGGTTTTGAAGGTTTTCGGTATACGCCCGCGACGACGCGCGCGTCTGCACTTCGTCCCATTTTGTTCAAAAGGATTCTCGCGACGGCACACGCGCAAGGGCGTTCGACAGATTTCAACATGCGCGCGCGAAGCCCGTTTGGTAGCATTTTGTGAAAAAAGATTTCGCAAGAGCTCGCGCGGAAGCTTTTTCAGCAAATCAGTGTTGCGAAACCCTGTGTTTTGTATGTTTTTTGGAAACTCGATTGCGAAACCCTTCCCGCACCGAAGGTTTTTGAAGGATTTCGGCATGCGCGCGCGACGACGCGCGCGTGCGCACTTCGTCCCATTTTTTGCAAGGGATTCGTGAAACAGTGCTATGTTAGAAGAAAAATGTCACCGCATAGTGTTTTTTACAAGGGAACCTCAGGGAAGGGGAGCCCGGCCTGGCTGGGATTGTATGACTTCATATTTAGGATGGACGAGTGGTCAGAATCATAGAAGATTTACATACCCGAAAGGGGAACCGATAAGTCCGGGGGGGGGGGTAGAGTCTATTCTCCTTTTAGATAGGAGCATAAATGTTATGCCATAGACGTGGTGTGATCTAGATTGTGCAATCTACGTGGTGCAACCCATGGTGGGGCAACCTATGCGGTGCAATATATGCGGTGCAGTCTACGCGGCGCAGTCTGTGCGATGCGGCCACGGGGCGGCGACAGCAGCAACATAGCCGCCATACCGCCGGACAGCCCCAGACGTCGCCCGGCGACGAGGCGGCGACAGGGCGGCGACGGCGGCAACACAGCCGTCGGACCGACGCACAGACCCAGTTCCTCAGAACGGAAGTGGTGATACATAAGTGCAAGCGCACAGGTAAGGGAATCTGTATTTATGTATATATACACACATAAATACGTATACAGACATATGCATGTGCGACACATTAGGCAATACGCACCTGTAGCAGTCGTTCCAGCTGAAAATGCAGAGTAGCGATGTAGCCACGTTCTTCACCAACAGCGCAGCATCCTCTTCTTCCTCCTGCTCCTGCTCCTGCTCCTCCGCCTACAGGGAGGGGGGACGAGGTGTACGAGGAAGTAGTAAGTGAGAGGCCTTGAGAATCCCTGACGTGGGCGGGGCCCTGGGAAGCCTCTGGATGCTCTCGAGGAGCAGGCCAAGGGGGAGGATCAACAGAAGAGAGTAGGGCAGGCGGGCCGCAGGTGCACCGCGCCTCCTCATCGCCTGCAAGAGGGAAGCGGTCTGCGCGTCATCCTCGTCGAAGTCGCCGTCCTGAAAGCAGGAGGAGGCAACTGGCCCTCCACTTCAATTCACCCTCCCTCCACACCTCCCCACACCAGTTCCTGCTCCATCTGCCCTTTCCCACCCCCACCTCCCCACACATGTCCCACTCCATTTGCCCCATCAATTGGGCTCTTGCTCATCTCCCTCCGCGGCGCCTCCGCGCCGAAGCAATGACCGCGAAGACTGCAAGAAAACAGGACCCTTCAGCCTCCCCGTTCATCCATTCCTTCCTCACCCGCTGGTAGCTCACCCTCCCTCCCTCCCTCCCTCACTCACTCCCTCCCTCCCTGACCCGCCCGTGTTCACCCCCTCTACCGCGGGTTCGTGCTATGTCGACCCTAGCGCTGGTTCCTGACACCGCGGGGATCGCTCAACCCTGCACGATCGGCCGTTTCCGAAGCGTCAGATCGCTCCGCATCGACCAATTCTGGGTCGCCAGCGGCGTCAAGCCATGGAGCGCCGGCGGCGGGGTCACCGCCCGTCGACAAGAGGCGAGCCACCGTGTCCGTCCCCATCCTCCTCCTTCTCCTCCTCCTCCTCCTCCTCCTCCTCCTCCGACTCCTCCTCCTCCTCCTCCCCCCCTCCTCCTTCTCCTCGTCCTCCTCTTCCTCGTCCTCCTCCTGCTCCTCCTCCTCCTCCTCCTCCTCCTCCTCCTCTTCCCCTCCCTCCCTCCCGCATCCGCCCTCTCCATGCTGCTCCCCCACAGGCAACCCCAGGACAGGTACACGCCTCGCGCCCGAGTCTCCGGCGCGACCCGCGCACGCCTCCCCCCCACCCCCTGTGGCTGGGAGCCTCGGGGCTTCCTCCAGGAGGTGGCGGCGCGCACAAGGGGGGCAGGGAGAGGGGGGTGGCCTCTCAGAAGGAGGTTGCTTCTCAGAAGGCGCGGACGTGGCATCTCCAGACAAGGCTCGCGGCTTCTAAGAAGCAGCCTCCTTCTAAGAAGCCTTCCCCATGTCTCCGACCCCCCCCCTCGAACAGGGGATAGGTCGACCCTTATCCCAAGCTTTGGGAAGTTTCTAGTGAACCAAACAGGGGTGCGTCCGACTACCCCCCTCGGGGGTGTATCCCAAGGTGTACCTCTTTTCCTGCACGGCACAACTTTTCGAGCAGAACTCGGAGCTTGGGAGAGAGAAAACCGCCCGTGACCCTCTGCGCGAGGCTGAATGACGGGAGGCACACAGACATACTCATACTATATATCCTCCTTGGAGGCGCGCGTCCGACCCGAACATATAGTATACAGTATACCCATCTTGTAGTACATCGTTTCCCGAGCGTTGTGGCCAGAAAGCGCCCGCCACGACGCTTATGCTACAAGATTTCTCGGTGCGTGCGTCGCCCCTGGGAGGGCGACGCACACATTGTATTGGTGGGTGTTGGGGTGACGCCGAAAGGAGCCTGCCTCACCCCACCCGTGGGAAGGAGGGAGGGTCTCCGAGGGGGAAGGCGGGAGGGGCTTCCAGGACACTTCCGCCGCCGCGCAGTGGCATCCAGGCTTACAGCCGAGAGCCTTGGAAACAGGCCGCGAGGTCTTCTATCAAGGACCTCGCGCCTGGCCTCAGACTCAGACATGGGAAGTTCGCATGGTTCCTGGGACGGGGCTCGAACGAGGAAGAATCCGTTCTTGAGCGTTGCGGGGCGCTCTCGGAGCGTTCCAGAACGCTCTGAGAAGGCCGCGGCGCCCGAAACATCCTCCAGAACCACCGGATCTCAGAGGTTCTCGATTTAGCTTCACCCGATGGTATCCTGGTCCGGGCTTCGTCTTAGTTCCCCAGGGCCCTGAGCGAAGCCTGCCCGAAGAAGCCGCACGCGCTGCTGCACCGAAGGCCGGGGGAGGCCCGAAGAGGGGGGCGACAGGGGCGCGGACGGGCGGGGCGACACAGAGACCCAGGGCTCCGGCGGCACGGCGCATTCCGCCCCGGAGTGGTTCCTGGATCTCGGCGGCCGAGGGTTGCCTTCGGGCCCCCCGGGGCAGGCAAAAACGAGAGCCCTGGGCCGCAGGACTGCCCCCACAGGAAGGGGCAGGGAGCTCCGTGGCCGCGGAGTAAAAACAAGAGCAGCAGATCGGCAAGCATCGGGGGGAGCAGTACGCGCAACGAGCCAGCAGCACACCATGGTAGCCCTGACTGCTCCTGCTGCTCCTGCAGTGGCCAAGCTGGAGGCAACGGAAGTCCGCCCCGGGGGGGGAGGACGCCCCCACTGGGCATGGAGGGCCCATTTGCGCCGCCAGAACATCACCACATCCACTGCCGCCAGGTGGTGGTCCGAGGACTCGGGGAGCGGTTAACATGGAAACCTGCACGCCCGCGCGGGCGGGCAAATGTCCACATCCGCCGCTCGTCGAGATCCCAGGGCACGATCCCGAAGCAGTGGATGCGGACATGTTCTGGCGGTGGACAACCGGAGCCTTCGGGTTGAGCTGGGGTGGACTGGAGGAGGAGGAGGAAATGGAGGAGGAGGAGGAGGAGGAGGAACAGAAGAAGGAAAAGGAGGAGACGAGGAGGAGGAGGAGGAGAAAGAGGGGGAGGAGGAGGAGGAGGGTCTGAGACGCGCGGCTCCTTCACGGCGAGCCTCACCCTGTCGTGGAGCACGCCCAACGCCAGGCACGCGCACCACGGCTCCAGGAAGGGCTCCCAAACGCTGTCCGACCGGCTCGCGAATTCGCCGCTGTCGGGCCGGCGGCGGCGGAGGGAGGCACGACGAGGAGGAGGAGGAGGAGGAGGAAGATTGAAAAGGAAGACGAGGAAAACGAAAAGGGAGGGGGACGAGGAGGACGAGGAGGGCGGACGACGCGGAGGAGGACATAGGAGAGGAGGGCGAGGAGAGCGGAGAGGGGAGGAGGAGGAAGGAGAGGAGGAGGAGGAGGAAGGAGGAGGAGGAGGAGGCGGCGAAGGAGGAGGACAAGACAGGACAGGGCAGGACAGGACAAAACATCCGTATAAGGGGGTGCAACGTCAGAGCATATACTCAAGTGGCCTACACGTTTCTGTCAACATCCCCCACGATTGGTTGCGCGACTGCCTTCTCGCTTTGGCCGGTCGGGGGGCATACCACGTAGTTCAAAAACCGAACTCCGAGGTGGCCCCGTAAGAGAGGCTCGCTACCTGACATCACGAGTCCCTGCGGGTCAGTGCGGGGGGAGCGGCTGCTGGCCCTTCCGTGCGCCCTAGGGGAAAGGACGCGCGTGGGCATAGCAGAGCGCCCAAGCCAAAGGGGGGGAGGAGACGACAATACGAACTCGAATGGAGGAAAGGGGGAGGGACGGAAGGCCCGAGACCCCAAACTATTGCTGAGGGGGCTGTTGACTCTACAATTTGATGTCTGTGCTCCCCTCTCCCGCTCGGCTCACTTCTCGGTCATTCCGAGAGATGCCACATGTATTGTCGCATCTGTACTCTGGCACCCTGTTGGAGTACCCCATCGCTCCCCATCCGAGTGTGTGCGAGGTAGAGCCGATTGGTAGTCACGGTATATGGTAGGGCCAATGAGGAATGCACTGGTGAGCTTTTTGATGATCATTTTTTCTCCTTCGACACTCTGCGGTACTGTACCTGTCGGTACTCCAAAAAATACTTCCCAATGCAATGGCGGCGCGAGCGCTCCGTGGTGCCCATTGTGTCTGTCATGCGTTGCACTCCGAGAAACCTCGCTAATGTTCCTACTAACTGTGGGCACGGCCAGCTCGCAGCTCGCCTAGAGTAGCATTCCGAGAAACCTCGCTGATGCTTCCTCTTGGCATGCCAGCAGGCTCCAGTGGGCGCGCTCACTGGTGGCCGCTGGAAGAGCTGGCCGTAGTCGTCTCCTCCGACTTAGGGTAGCCGGACTTTGCCGCGAAGATCTCGGTGCCATTCAGCATGGTCTGCGTGTTGTCTCGTAGCTTCTGGCATTCCCTCAACCTCTTCAGCCTCTTCACTTCCTCTGGGTCCATGTTGTCCTCGTTGCTCAGCTCCTTTTTATGGCGACCGTCATTACTTTGTGAAGGTTGTGCTCGTCGTTCTTCGCTATCTTCAGCGCCAGCTCACACCAGCTCTGCACGGTGAGAGCCTCCCCCATGATCTTTCCAAGTAGTCGATTGGGTACCTTGCGATGAGGTCGCAACCTTCGATCTTGTGCGTAGGAGGAGGAAGAGGAGGAGCAGGAGGAGGAGGAGCAGGAGGAGGAGGAGGAGCGAGGAGGAGAAAGGAAATGGGCAAGCCAGGTGCGCTCGCGCCATACTTGACATCCCACCCAGTCCACCCGTCCCTCCCCGTGGCGCTGCTTCTTTTATCCACGGAGCCATCGAAGACCTTCACCTCGAAAAGCTACTCGAATCGTGGCATGCGCAATCGGGAAGGGGGAGCTGCGTACATCGGAGGAGGAGGTGCCGGATGAGCAGGAGGAAAAGCAGCAGGATGAGCAGGAGGGAGAACAGCAGGATGAGCAGGATAGAAACAAGGAAAGATGGGGACGAGGCGGCACAGCAGCAGCAGGAGCTGAAGCGGGAGGAGCGGAAAGATCGGGATGACCAGGGGAGGGGAAGGAAGGGAAAAGGAGCAGGACGACAACGACGAGGAAACGGGCGGATCCAGAAAAGTGGCCCGCGCGGGGCCGCGAGCGCCATTCCGAGCGGAGGGGAGCGAGGCGTTGATCCTGACGTGAGGCCGACGCTGCAGCGGGAGCCCATCTTGAGACGCCGAAGACGCTCCGACTTCCAAAACAAATGCTGATGTCATGTTCGTGAAAAGCCATACGCTTACGGGCCCTTCTCCTGCTCAGCCATCCGCAGGGGAAGGAGGAAACTTGTATTAATCGTGAAGAAGTGTACAGAGGAGGGAGGAGGGAGAAGCACAGAGGAGAGAGGAGGCAGGAGAGAGGAAGAAGACGACGAGGAGAAGAGAGAGGAGGAAGGAGAGCTGAGGAAAGAGAAGGATGAAGAGGAGGACCAGTGTAAACCCAAG